TCGAACTTTGTGTCGTTGATTGCCGTTCCTTTGGATATGTTAGAAATCAATGCTTCTTTGCATATGCGTCTTCTCCATTCCGTTTCCTTTGCAACCACAGTAACATTTTCGAAATTCATTGAGTGTCTTTCTAGATAATCACCTTGTTTTATTTCTACGATTAATTGTGTAAAAGTTGTTGATACTTCATTTTCACTGCTAACAGTTTGAATTGCATTTGAATTTTCCGCCTGTTGTCCATCCAAGAAAAGAGCAAGTCAACTAACTATCTTTATCAGTTCAATAGTGAGAGCATTCACACGCAGAACTCCGTGTAACAACATAAATGGAAACCAACTATGATTTAAATATAACTGGTAGATAACAATACTTTGACGACTAGAAATCCTCTAACGTATTGCATTACAAATAAATACACTATATATGTATCAGAGATCGACACGAACCGAGTCGCTTCGGGTTGGCTAAGCGAAAATTTCATTGTTTACTGTTTGACGAGATCTTCCTTCGGAACATCAAGAACTGACTGTTTTTAGGGTGTGCATGAATGTGTCGATCAAACTGGATGAACACTATCGAATGATTCATTCAGCGGTTCATTATATTGTTTCCTTCGATTTTTACAATTATTTTATGAGTTTTGTTATCATTTATAGTTTTGCACACATGCATTCAGTGAATATCTACAGCATCAAAGATGTAAACATTCAAATTCAAGTAAGAAGTACAAAACTCCAACGAAATGCATCTTTTAGTGAAGTTAACTACTACACTGATTTACCGAGCTTTCGACCTGTTTATTCTTCGGTCATTTTCAAGGCGAATGATAAAAAGAAAAAACGTGTACAGTATAAGAAGAAACAGAATGAACTAAATAAAATAAAATGTTTTGACTTGCAAGTCTAAGTTCGAAGAACTTTTTACTGTCACCATCGATGTCCTTCAATTAGAACATTATAAGTTCTTCTCAAAAAACATTCAGTTCGAACTTTGTGTCGTTGATTGCCGTTCCTTTGGATATGTTAGAAATCAATGCTTCTTTGCATATGCGTCTTCTCCATTCCGTTTCCTTTGCAACCACAGTAACATTTTCGAAATTCATTGAGTGTCCCGTGTATAATGAAACTTTCAGGAAATTTTTACTGATAGGTCGGTTAAATTAACTAGAAAAACATGTTAAAAAGCTTTCTTGCAGAGTTACAAGTGTTTTAAAACGTCTGAACGCCAGCTTTATCAAATGTAATACGTCGTTGATTGATCAATTTAATATTGTGTGCTAGTGCACCTTGACTAGAATCAACAGCATTCAAAAGAGCAATATTTGATTGTAAATAACTGCTGCTTGCACCTGGAACTTGTACTTGTGTACTAAATAATTGTGCATAGGCTGCTTGGTGCACCTCACGTCGATCGGCAATTTGAAATGTTGTTAGAACAGCACTAGGCGCAACAGGTTCACTGCCTGGTGTAACTGCCTGGTGTAACTGCAATTAATCCAATTTGTGCACGATTATCTGATGTTGATGTTGAATATTGCACCTTTAATTTATCACCACGTATTACATTCAACGACGTATTACATTTGATAAAGCTGGCGTTTATATGATTATTACAAATGCTATTATAGGAGGAGGAGCAGGTGACTTACATTTATGGTATCAATTGAATGGACAACAGGTGGAAAATTCAAATGCAATTCAAACTGTTAGCAGTGAAAATGAAGTATCAACAACTTTTACACAATTAATCGTAGAAATAAAACAAGGTGATTATCTAGAAATTGTTTATTCATCAACAAATTCGCAATTAGGTTTACAAACAGTTGTAGTAGATGGTCAACCAACTGGTGCTGCTCTAACTGTAACAATCTTTCGTGAACCTAATTGTCACAACTAGGTGCAAAATGAAATAAAGTAGAAATGAAACGTCAAAATAAGATTAAATCGAAAATTCGTCTTTTTTTAGAAAGCATATCCTGACATCTTCAAATCTTATTTTCTCTCATCACCATTTCTGTATTACTATTCTCAAAAATAAATTATTTCATATTTGCTTCAGAACATCTTGAACAATATCCCAAGGAGCAAAATTTGAATGTTTACATAAAATTGAGTAGATTGTGGAGTGGGAAATAGAAATTCAAGTAAGAAGTACAAAACTCCAACGAAATGCATCTTTTAGTGAAGTTAACTACTACACTGATTTACCGAGCTTTCGACCTGTTTATTC